CTGAAGTTTGTCATTATTTTTAGATGGAGGGCAAGGGCCATTATAACTCTATTGGTGAGACACTGTTTTGTTTTGTTTTTTTTGTAAAGAAATCACCAAACTGAATATCCACAAATGTTGAAACTTGTATTTTTGTTAGAGATGGGGCCACAAATATATAGAAAAATATATAAAGAAAAAAGAATTGAGAAAAGAGGAGGTAATTACATGCATTTACCATAAACAGGACACAATATTTGCATTTTGACCGTTAAAAGTCAAATAGGTTACATCACGTGACACCAAATTCTTCCTATATTTTAACACAGAGCTCGAGGATACAGTAGCTCAGAATTCATGGTGGAATTTGCTGTTTGTCAGTGTGCAGATTTGTTTTTTGTTATTTGGTTTATGGTTACGCTCTCTGTAATTATTCGGCCTTTCCACATGAAACAAAAACTGTCAAGTTCCAAGTCTTCTCTGGCAGCATAAATAAGCAAAAGTTTAAAAAAAACATTCACAGTAGTTTCAGAAAGTGGTGAGTATTCAACCCTTAACGACGTGGTTGTTGTCAGTTGTGGACCCAGTGCCTAATAAGTAATGATAAGTTTCAACATTTGTGGATCATAAGTTTCATTCAAAAACAGTAAATCTTCGATTGATTTACATAACACTACAGGACACAGAGGACAGAGAGGGGGTACACTTTTGTCCTGAGGGCTGCTACTCACCTCAAACTGTCCTGTACTGGATCTGATGACTCTACCTGTTGAGCTGGGACATTTGTTTGCGCTTTCTATTATTATTGTATTTTACTGCTCAATATTCTAAGTGACTAGGCTAAACTTTATTAGCCTCGTGCCTCCACTCAATTTCATTTCTCTCCAGGAATCTCCAGGAATTGGAATACACTATATGGTTCACAAATTCCCCGGAATTACAAGTCCGGGCACCAGCCAGTCAGCGAAGAGACATACATTCTGTGTTGGCAACGATTCCCGAGATCGAGGATTTAAAGCCGGAACAACGAGAATGTTTGTTGAATTTTATCAAGGGGAAAGACGTTATTGCCCTTCCTACGGGATTTGGGAAAAGATTAATATACCATTTAGCCCCGTTAGCGGCACATTACGTACGTCACGACCAAATAACAGCGACTGGTTCAATGAAAAAAGTACCCGTCTACCGTTGAGCGAACAAATCCTAATCCTGTGAGGTCAGACGGTTTCTACGAAGTGAAACCGGCTGATGAATCAGGCTAAAACTTTACAGTAACATATCAGTAAATGGTATTGTTCTATACATCTCACAGAAATGAGTCTAATCTGTCATGTGCATTTTAAAACGAGACTCGCTTTATGTTTGATTTGGCCCTCAGATGGTGGCCCATACTCTCCGTACTCCTAAATGAAAGTGATTGTCCATGGGTATAAAAGCCGGGGAGAGACATTTTAATTTAATTCATTTAATGCTTTGTTTTGGACTGTGTCTGATACAGGCACTTTTGGAAATTGAACACTTTGTCTTGTGGCAGAATTGTGTTTGTGGCGACAACACCATTTGCTTGACATTTCTTCAACTTGTTAACACTGTCTTCACTGTTGAATGATGTCAATGCAAAACCATGACTCATTTGTACAACACATGGAGACAGATGCAGAAACAGTGAAATTAATGACTGCACTGTTTTGGAAAATACAAGCCGTTTCAAATAAATAGTATATTTGTTTTATAAGACAGTTGTTTTCAATTTAAATGCCGCTTTAGAAGATATACTTGTATGTAGCAATAACTTTAATGGGGAACTATATAAAGCCACAACCCAGATTTTTTATGCATAAATAAGGTTTAACTAGAACTAAACCAAAACTAAACAATGGCATCGTACTCTTTAGCGCATTAATATGGGATAGCATTTAGTAAATTGGATAAAAGAGGCACATTACTTAATTAGCACATAAGGAAGGATTTTGTTTCTTGTTAATATAAAGTCTTCTTCCTGCTTTATGTTTTCGGATTAATCAAATTACCATAAAAATAATTAGAAGGCCTGAAGTATTTTTGTTTCCTTGCTTAATCACCAGGTAATGAAAATAATAACTCTTTTTTGTATTATTTTCAAGTCCTCATTATAGTGTGGATGTCTGTTTGTAGTTAATTCTGGACGAATATATCAAACTAATGTTACGCCAAAAACTAAAATCTAGCCAAGTTAAAATGACTTGAATTAAGAAAGTTTTATCATGATTTGAGTACATTAAACTTGTAAAATTATCTACCAATGGAGCAAAACTTTTTGTTCTTAACATGTGAAAATACATCTTGCTACACTTAAGATAAGAAAGACAACAACATTTTATTTTGCACTTAAACTAAGACACAGCTCACCTCTGGACTAATTATAAAAAAGCCAGTTTGCAAAGACTGCAGGTGGCCTACAGTGACTCTTTACAGGTGCTTTTGAGGAGGCCACGATGGACGAGTGTGACAGAAATGTTTGTTTCTGCATGAGTGAATGCTTTGCAAGCTGCACTAAAAATTTTAATGTACAGTTTTATCTGCTGACTGAACAAATCAGACAATGAAATAATAATGTCACTCACAAATATAAGATTCAGTGCAATGCGATATGTGGAGACACTGGTGTGGTTGTCTTTAAAAACATAAATGTTTTTTGTTTTGTATTGTCACTGTCCTTGTCTGTTTTAAAAATGGAGCATGAGTCTGGAATAAAGATGATGATGATAATGATGAAGAAACAAAATCATTTAATTGGTAGATAATTTTACTTTTCAAGTTGAGTCTACTCAAATAAACTCAAATGTTCTTAATTTAATCATTTTAACTTAGCTAGATATAGATTTTGGTAATGTAGTCCTGATGTAGACTTGGTTTAATCCTATTACACTAGAAAAAACAATATCTTGGTAAGTTATCATGATTTAAATTAAGAACATTTTACTTTATTTTGGTAGATTCAACTTGACAAGTAAAATTATCTACCAGTGGAATAAGTGTGTTTTTCTTAATTCAAGCAGCATTTGATTTTGTTTCTTATTTTAAGTGCAAAAAGTTGTTGTTTTTCTTATCTTAAGTGTAACAAGATGTATTTTCATATTTTAAGTACAAAAGTCTTGTTCCACTGGCAGATCATTTTATTCGTCAAGTGAAATTTACTCAAATCATGATAAAACGTTCTTAATTCAAGTCATCTTAACTTGGCTAGATTTTGTTTTCGCAGAGTATAGACTTGATCCTGACTAAAAATGGTTTGAAAATAGCGCAAAAATATAGACACACTGAACTTGAGCAGGGGAGGAAATGTGGACTGCAGATGAGTTTACAAAGTTTAAAAAAAATACATTTAAATGAGATGTCAATCCAAGTTACCCACCAATTTGAACTGAAAACATTTCAGCAACTGGGCTACACCACACTATTTCCACTTTTTTTCTGTTTACTGTTGACCAAAACATATCCTAAACTTTTGATTCATGAAAGTGTCCACTGTTGGCAGATATAACAGCTGAACACACTCGTGGCTCTTTCTTTTTCCAATAGAAATCAAATATTCTTCAGAAAGTTCTTACCCAAGACTGTTGCAGAAGTTCCAACAAATGTGTGGCACTTGTAGGTTTCTTGGCTTTCACTCTTCTGTCCAGTTCATCCCAAAACCAGCTCGATGGGGTTTAAGTCTGGAGACTGTGCTGGACACTCCATGTTTTCAAGCTTTACCATCTTGTTCTTTTTTTCCTGAGGTAGATTTGGCAGAGCTTGGACTTGTGTTTTGTTATCTTTTGTCTTTTTTTTTTTTAACCTCTTTCTGTTCAGTTCTTCATCATATCATTTCAAGCTCTTCGTTGGACTTCCACGATTGGAATTGCAAAAAAAAACTGGAAAAATGAAGGTGTTCTTCTAAAACTTTTGACCGGTAGTGTATATGTGAGCAAAATTACGCCTCAGTACAGATATATTGTATAAGTGGCTCTTAAGAAAAAAACTCTTAAGAAAAAAGTTTTGAAAAGCAAATAAACTAATCACCGTGAATAATTAGGACACTAAAATTTCTTAAGGTTTGGACCATTGCAAACCCTTTTTTTAGAAGTAAAAATCCGGTACAGCATCTTTAAATTGCTATTGAGTTTTGAGTTTGCGTAAATAATCATGCAGTTATTAATTATTCCATCCCGTAAACAGTCACATTTTAGTTTCCTGTTTTCTCATTTCCTACTCAGAGCTTATTTTGAGTCTAAGAGGATTTTGCAAACGCAGATGAAATTCATTTGCCTTTTCTCTTGCCTATATTCAGCAGCACATAATCCCAAAATGTGTGTCATTTTCATAGGGCACGGAGATTTAAACGATTTCAAGACGGCCTCTTTAAGTCTTCTATTTAAAATGCATTGAAAACAGATTTGGGGGCGACGTGGGGGAGAAAATCAATTGGAGACGGTTATGAGTTATGAAAATAAATTCTGCATTGATTGGCTATCTGACTCCTGCCACTGTGTAAACAAATGGGGAAATGCAGATTCAAATTAGCCTGTGTTTTGCTGAAGGTCAAAATCCACTGATACAATTATGGCCTACTTTAACATGGACAGCGACTGTTTCACTGAGGGCAAAACGTACAAGACAAGAGTTAGAAAATATGAAATTAGTAGTCTAGACTTAGCGGGCGTTTTTAATGATTTATTACTTCATTGCTTTGGGTGCATTCAGTAAGAGGATTGAATTCAAGCAAGAAGCAATTAATCAGTGGTGCACTCCAAATAACTTCACATGGAAAACATTCGCAACATGTTTAACTTTTTTTTTTTTTTTTACTATAGTTTTAATCAAGAAAACTATTCAAATTCAAATTATAATAACACTCTTTACTCACAGCAAGAAGGTTCTAATTCCCAGGTCCTGACAGGTTTCCCCAGCAGCACTGATGGATGCATGGGTCAAACACAGAGGACAAGTTTCTCCACGGGGACAATACAGACTAACCTTAAACTTTAACCTTGTTGTGTCAGGTTGGAGTCTCCCACACGGACTCTGACCATGGAGGCTCCGCGGGGGGTGGAGGTGAGCGCGGCGCAAGGCTTTCTGCAGATCAGCGGCAGAAAAGACCTGCAGCTGGAGTCCACAGAAGGAGAGGTACGGATCAGCTATAGGCATTTTCATACTCGTCTAATTTAGTTTCATTGTGTGCTAGTTTTATGCTACTCAAATTAAAGGATCACTCTGGAATATAATATGGATTAGTGAAACTCATGCTTGGGCTGGAAGTAATGACACTTAATTTGCTCTGCAGCACAGGAATGTCAATTAGGACTGGATTTTTATGTGAAAATTTCCCTAGCAACAAGAATCCATCAATATAAACTGATCAAACACATAAACTGATTTACACATATTACTAAAAACCCTTTAGCACATCATTAGTGCTAATGATGGCATGATTTTTAAGCAAGTGTTCCTTACTCAGATTTGTCCCCAATTTGTGCAGTTTTGGTCATTTATATTCAGTAAGTGATTTATTACAAGATTAAAAAGTTCTATTACATATTTTCCCACAGAATTGCAGAAGAAATTTCAGATTTAAGAGTTTTTTCTTTTCACCTGCAGTGCTTCACCTTAATAGCTTTTTGGATATTGCAATCCATAAAGATTGTCATGATTATTCATGATTAGCACGCAGCATTTTCTTTCATTCACAGTCTAACAGATCAGCATTCCTCTAATATGTCACCAGCTTTATGAACTCAAACTTTTGAATAGGCCTGGGTTTCATTAAGAAGTTGCGGATACAATACATATCTCGATACACAGGCCATGATACGATACATATTTTGATACAGTGCACTTTCGGTTCGATGCGATATATTTCAAATCGATTTGATACAGTTGAAAAATAATGGCTAAATCATGGCTGTGATACTAAAAGTCTTTGTGTTTCATATGAACTTTTCAGAAGAAGTGGTTTAACAAACATTTTAATGATGAAAAACAATGAAAATGTCAAATGTTTTGCATAAACGAGTTTCCATCCTCTGAACAAACAACAAAACTGTAGTGCTGTAACAAAATAATTTAGTAAAATATAACAAAAAATACTCTTGGTGATATATTGATACAGCAGCCCACGATATTGATACTGTATCATCACATTAAACAATACGATATATCAATATTTCAATATTTCTGCACACCCCTATTTATGAACGTAAAAGCAAAGTTGATCAGACATAAACAGTCAGAATCTTTAAATTGACTTCATTTACATGTGACTTATTTGTGTAGATCGACTTGAAATTTCTTTGAATTTGAATTTCAAAGTTCTTATGATTATTGTGTATTGTTTAATGTTCAATTATCTTGATTTTTGACTTGCCTTTTTTTATTCTGTTGCTTAAACTGTGCGTTGCAACACGGTAACTTCCCCATTGTAGGACAAATAAAGATTCTCTTATCTTATCTTATACTATGGTCTGAATTTACCAAATAATCTTGCGTCCCTTGATAGAAACACCTCAGTCCCAATAGAAAAGACTTTAAAAAGACTCATATAAAAGTGAGTGTATGTGTCATTTGTCCATATGCTCCTTTGGCAGATGAGGCGCTCTGTTCACACCACACGTCACATTGTATTTACTGATTGCACCAAAGTCATTCATCACAGAGAAACCACACTGTCTTCACTTCACCTCTGGCTATGTTATTTGAATGACTTCCAGCCCTCTGTGATTTCTGTTCTTTTTTTTTTTTTACAGATACTTCTAGATGCCAACATTATCCAGCTGGGGAATCTTCCACTTGGCACGTTTTCGAAGTCCCCACCCCAGGCGGCCTATGAACAGTCCATATACGAGGTCTGCGTTTGCCCCAGTGGGAAAGTCTACTTATCTCCGGCCCAAAGTAGCTCTACCTGCCAAATAATGAACAATATCTGCCTTTGGAGTTGATTTGGGAACATCTGCGTCCAAAATGCTGCAACTTCAAGGATTTTGATGGGACAAATGTTGGAGAGGAAAAGTTGTTCATATTCACACCAATGGAGCTCAACAGTCCTGTCCATCTGTAGAGTTGTCCTCTTAACTTTGAGATTAATGCTGCGTTTCATTTATCCTCGGAGGCTGGAGCTTGAACATCGGAGTAGCTTTTTTGTGAGTTTCCAGTGGTCAACTTTATAAAAAATGACCAAACATTACAGTATATGTACAGTAAAGACAATAAAAGCAAGCAATAAAAACAAAAACAAAAGAAAAAAGAAAGAGCTCAAACCTGCCCAAGTCCTTGTAAGTGAATTTTTGCTTTTGTCATTAGCTCTGTGTATATCCATAAGCAGGCAGAGTATATCAGCGCATTTATAACTGCAGAGGCTCACCCATTGCAGGAGCAGGTTCACAAAAGCAGGTGGAGCGTGCAGAGCATTTAAAGGCAAAAACCTAACCCTAATAACACAAGAACCTTCAATATTTTTTACTCTTGGATGTCAAAGTTTATCCAAACGCAGGGCATAGCCATGTTGGACTTTCTAACTCGGAACCAGCTCGGGGTTCTGAAATGTTGTTTCCAAGTAGGACTTTCGAGATGGATGGGTGTTCTACTGTAAATTTACGAGTCAGAACATGGAAAATCTGACCTCCGAGGGCAACTGGAACGCAGCATAAGGATTTCTTGTAACTCAGAATGATTGTAATACCCTGATAAAAAATTACATAACACAAAATGATTTTATACATATCACCAAGTATAGATCAAGATCATTTTAAAAAGTTTAAGTATCAATATGTATCTGGGTATCAGTTGATTTGACAACATTATCTACCTGGAAGAAGGGAGAAACTTCGCCGCTGCTACTCCACGTCAAGAGGAGCAGTTGAGGTGGCTCGGGCATCTGTTCTAGATGCCTCCTGGGCGCCTTCCTCGGGAGGTGTTCTGGGCATGTCCCACTGGAAGGAGGCCCCGGGGAAAACCCAGGACACGCTGGAGAATGCCTTGGGGTGCCCCCTGAGGAGTGGAAGGAAGTGTCTGGGGTGAAAGAAGTCTGGGAGTCCCTGCTTAGACTGCTGCCCCCACGACCCGGCCTCGGATAAGCCGAATAAAATGGATGGATGGAACTTAAAAGGTACACTATGTCACTTTTTAGGTGAGGTGTCACCTTCTTGTTTCCATGGAGATCTCATTTCTTTCTCTGAACACTCTACTGTCCTCTTGTATTTATTCAGTTATAGGTGTATTTCTTGCACAGACGTCCTTGAAATACAATGTATTTTTACTGTGGACAAGGTCACCTCCCCCCACAGATCTAACCTGTAACTTGGACTAATGCCGTCACTTTCTGGTCTCCATAGAAATAGACGAGTTAAATGTCATAGTGGGGAACATTCAAGGCAAAGCAATAACATCTCCATGGAGACGAGTACGTGGCAAAACCTCCACCAGAAAGGTTACAGAGTGTACCTTTAACATTGGACAAATGTTTTTCAAATGTTTGTGTTTTATAACTTATAGCTGTTTTTAATATATTGTGAAAATGTGTCTAAGCTCACACAGTTGATTATTGAGATTTCAGACTTTTTAAAATTTTATTTCTATTTTTTATTTTATTTTTTTTCAAAAGTCTGTTGGAAAATGAACGAGAATGTTACAACCAAAACCTGTGAAGATGTGGGCGGGACGGTTGAGCTCCATTAAAAATTAACCATTAGAAACTGGTGGCTTGGACTCGTGAGCCACTTGGAGAGAGAAGACGGCAGCTCGCTCTCATCAGGAATAAAAAAATAACTAGGTCATCGTGACAAGGAAAGTACGACATTTTATTTTTCTACTTGACAAAGAAAATTTTTAAAGAATTCCAACACTGGTGCCTTCAGAGTTTTAAAAATCATTGTGAAGTGGTTGAGATGGCATTGATCCTTGTCTGTTTTTAAAAAGGTCTTACACAAAAGCACAAAGTATTGGTTTCTGAAATAGAGGTGGGCCATATTGACACAACTCTTCATTGTACGTTTAATGCTGTTATAATGAAATTCAGATGCTACATGTTTAGACTTTTTTTTGGCTGAAATTTACAGTATCGAACAAAAAATGTATGGACTCTAATTACAAAATTTAAGAAATATCAACATATTCTTGTTCTCTGTGTATTCTTGTTGTTTGGAAGATGACGCTGCAAGTTTTTTTTTTTTCTTTTTCTGTCTTATTCGTGGGTTTCAGCTTCCTGTTTAGGGCTGGGTATCATTAAGAAGTTGCCGATATGATACATATCTTGATACAGTGAGCTTTCAATTCGATACAGTTCAATAAATAATAAAGACTAAGTGATGGCTGTGATACTAAAAGTCTTTGTTAAACCACTTCTTGTGCATAGTTAATATGAAACACTCTCATTTTAATCATCAAAACACTGAAAATGTCAAATGTGTTACATAAACGAGTCCTTCCTCTAAACAAGCAACAAAACTGTCGCACTGAAACAAAATAATTGAGTAAAATATACCAGAAAATACTCTCGGCAATATATTAATACAGCAGCTCACGATATCGAAACCTTATCATCACATGAAACGATACGATATTTCAATATTTTTGCACACTCCTACTCCTGTTATATGTTGTTATTTTGAGTACGGTTGACCAATTAAATTATTTATTATTTCATTTTAAATTGTTAATTGCTTTGGCAACAGTCCTACCTTTTCCTCATTCTGAAGCTCATGGATATATTCATACACGCTGTATTTTAGCCGTGCACCCAGCTTTATAATGGACTACTTACTATAAAAGGCTACGTGATCATTTAACTTTGCATATACCTTTAAACCAACCATTTTGATATTCTGTAGAGCAGTGTTTCCCAAAAGTTTTTCTGAAAACCCATGTTTTAAAAGTCACAAACCTTCGTGACCCAAGTCAATCGACATTATTCGTAAATCAAAAAATAAAGGTGGATTTGACCATTATTGAACATTAATGAGGAAATGATGAAAAACAGTAATTGAATCAGCAATAAAAGGATCCATAAGTCGCCTATTTGGACATTAAATGTGGCCCATTGCTTTTTCTTTTTAACATTCAATTGAACCAGCAATATTGGAACTAAATAGTCAATAAAATAATTACAAAAAGATTAGAAATTATACAAAACATGTATATTGCAGACCTATATGCAGAGCGTGACAAGTCGACCCAAAAACAATCTCTTGGACCCACCTGAGGTTCACTCTTTGGGAAACAGTGCTGTAGACCACATATGGCCCACCTGTATTCTGAAAGGTGTAAGTTATTGAAATGGATGTTTAATTTGCCATTGTAATGTAAAATAAAACATGTTTTTTTGTTTGAGTTGGGTTTGGTGCCAGTTTTGTTTGCAGCTCAGGATGAACCTTTGAGGGGTGCTAGGTGGAGAAATCGGGTGCTGAAATATGTTATCATTTCAATACGATAAAAAAAAAAAGGTAAATATTTTATAATGTAAGACTTAAAGTGTATGGGATGGAAACGTGACATTCATTTGAATGTGGTGATACACTATTTGACTGTGTATAGTTCAAAGTTACATTTATGGACTTGTAAAAACAAATCTGATCACATTTGAGTGCTAGTAAATTCTTTTCGGTGACTAAAGAGAGACTGAATAAATCATCTATTCGCAATCACAAACAAACACAGTCAAAACTGTTGGTTTCAGATCATGCACAAGACCTTGACTATTTTCTGCTTTTGATTTTAGCTTGTACCTGCATGTCAAACACTTTCTTGGCTAAACCTTTTTGTCTGAAGAAATTCTCTGTTCAAATACTTCATTTTAACCTTCTCTGGGGTTTTGTACAAAGTAGTTTTAGAATATTTGATTTGACTGCAGATAAAAACAAGTGAACTCTGGTTTCCCTCAAGAGATTATCTTTATCCACTATAAAACTAGACCTAAAAAATATAAAAATGCTTAAACAACTGATTATATGGGGTTGGGACTACCACTGATATGTGGTATATGAACAGTTTGTGTTTCCAAATATGTCTTTAATTCATCAGAAGATTCAGACAAAGCCCCTTTTATGCTGTGTGGATCCAAACAAACGTAACAATCGCATTGGTGTTGCACAGGAGCCTATAGGAAAATGAAAATCATAAAGATAAAAATAGTCGTTAGTTGGTCAAGTCAAAAAGAAATTACGCAAAGACAAAGAAACAGCAGTTATTGGTATGTAGTGCCATCTACTGGTTCAAGGTGATAGCCCCATTTCTCAGGAACCTACAATTTCAATTCATTCACTACTAGAAATTAAAAATAAAACTCACACTGACAAAACAATTAATACATTGTGAGATTTAATTCCATAAAGAACATGTTGAATTTTGGTTAAGCTCACAAAACATCAAACTGAAAGAAAGAAAAACTGTAATCGGTGCATATTTTTATATTCAAATATATCAATGACAAAAGGTAACGCAAAAGGCTTGATTCAAAGTTGAAATTGTTACGACATAATACAGTAAAACCTAAAAGAATATAAGAAAATATAGAACATTAATTTTCTTTAGGACTGAATTCTCAATGTTTTCCTGGACACTGGTCTTCAATCCATTTGACTTTGTAAAAATTGTAATAGTTGTTTATATTTTCAACACAATACAGCCTTTATAGTGCAATACATTCATTCATTCAAGTATAATACTGTCTAAAACACAAATTAAAAAACGGAATACTTTAAATCTAAAATGCTGGCGACATAAAAATGAAACAAATGTGTAAAGTAAATAGTAAAATAGTAAAAGTTGTGGCAGAGTCATTCATGTTGCAGTGTAATATATCCATTGTCAATACTTGAATGGATCTCTATACTTGTAGTAGGGTTGCCATTTTCTCTCATATAGATTATTGCTAGAATCACAAAATACATTATTTACACTAAACCATAAAAAACAGATCAATTATTGTGGCTTAAATGGTAAAACTCACCTTATATTTTCATCAGATGGATGGTTAGCTTTGTGGGCTGATTTGGATATATTCAGACCAGGGGGGATCCTGTCTGGGTATCTCACCGCAATCTTAGAGCCCATTAACTCAAATCCCTAAACACAAACAGACAAATGTAGGATTTATGTCAAAAGTAAAGCAAAAAGTAAAAGCAATATAAGTTAAACTAAAGCCTAAAAGTGCAAATGACAGGGAACACGATTTACCAGTTATGCAGGGTAGCTGCGGGGTCTTAAAAGTCTTGAAAAAGATCTTAAATTTCACGTTCCTAAATTAAAGCATTGAAAAGTCTTAAATTATGCTGTTCAAGTCTTATTTTTTTCAGAAAAGTTTTAAATTTCATTAGCCAATTTTTTGTATACTCAACTGGGCTGCAATGCACTGTTAAATGGCGGGAGGAAAATAAAAAACGTGAAATCATGTAACCTGAATGAACGTCTAATTTGGAGAACGCGCAAAACAATACTTTTGCTTGTGGCGCCGACAGCAATGAGTAAACAATCAGTACAGTGCAGGAAGACATTGGCTGGATCATCAAGTGTAGGTTTAGATTCTAGATATAGTACCAGTAGTTGGTTGGTCATTATTAGAATTGGATCGGGTGTTTTTTGTCCACATAATGGGTGTGATGTTGGTCTTAATTTTCATTTAAGTAGTATTAAATGTCTTTATGTTCAGTCTTAAATTTGGGATAGTCAAACCTGAGGATACCCTGTTATGATTCAACTAAAGCTCATACTTGTTACCTCACCACCACAGTGTAAACAAGGACTCAAATCATCTAATAGTCATTTTTTGACAATAAAAAACATGACAGCACCTTAAATTAAACTGCCAACTAAATGCATTGCCAAACTGTCAGAAAACGATGTTCCTTGCATGTAAATAGTCCCAGATTTTTTGTGAAACTTATGATTTTATTTCCTGTTTGGACCTGGGCAGCAGATGTGACATAACGTACAGGTAATTGCATAAGTGTTACACAAACATCCATAAGGTAAACAAAGGCCAAATCTAAATTGCACCATAATTATGACAAACTAATAAAGCTACATAACAACACCTTTGCTTTGCTGTGTGTAAATGGTCCCCGTGTTAAGGAATTCTGTGTGTTGATGAAATATGTAAAAGGTATTCCAATGTAAAACTTATGGAAACTTTTCTTCACCAGCTGATGTAAAACTATGATAAATATTGACCAAACCAAGTAATAATTGGAAAAACATGAAAACCTGTCATATGCACTTCAAGTAATTCAATAAATGTTCACACCGCTGGGGCAACATCAAGGACTTCAGTATCCTTGTTTTGTTTGTCCATTATAAATAGTTACTTACATGATATCTCCTAATTGCATCATCGCAATGCTGCTGTTGGGTGTAGTTAATAAAAGCACAGCGTTTTGCAGGCAGTTGTTTAAGACTATAAACTGGTCCAACCCTGCAAAGAGAGAGAACACAAGGGAATGACTTTGTTTTGATGATAATTTTAACGCTGTTAAAATACTACATGACCTTGAGGCATATTTGAGTACTTACTTGTTAAAAATACTTCCTAATAAGTTTTCAGTGACAGAAAAAGACAGATTTCCCACCCACACAGGAAACAGCTCTCTGTTGAAAGATAAAACATGACATTATGCCCAGTTAAATTAAAGAACATTATATAACTTTTATTAATGACAGCCCACCCCCTGCTTCATGGGATTCTGCTGTTTCTTTATCAGTTTGTTATCCTTTTTATCAGATTAACACTTTATCTTGTTGCAGTCTATTCTCAAATGTTAATGCTCCTGGAGGCGTTTACAATGTGTACTCTGAACAAAACCATATTTTCCAAACATATATTGCAAATCTAATAACAATACTTTACATAAAGATGATAACTATTTCCCCAAACTGCAGTCCTCCTGTATTACCCACACACAAAGCTTTTTTTTTCACTGTTCTGTAACTGAGCCGAATGTTTTGTGAAATGTGATGTACTCACGGTGCTTGTTCTACATGGTTGGACTTCGGGGCTGCAGGGGCATTTGGTTTGGGCTGGCTTTGCTGGTTCTGGACTGGGATAAGAGGCGTTTTCTCGAGGGGGAGGGTCTTTGATGCATCCTGGGCTGGAGGAAGAGGGGGTTGAAGAGGAGGGCGGGGGGCAGCAGCCGCTTTGGCAGAGAGGCCCGGGGATACTCCGGTCACATTAGCCACCTGCTGCACTGGGACAGGGGCAGGTGGGGACACTAAAACACAAAGAAAATGTTACTTTAAAATACAGGTTAAACAGTTTTATTTTCCTCAACAGTTTGGGTTCATGTAACATAAAAAAATAAAATCCCTATAGTTTAAAACTGAGCTGGAGGACAGGTCAGAATTCTATAGAAGATGATGCTGTTAAACTGCCTGATTACAAATGTGTTAACCTTTAATTAATATGCATTTACTGGGCCTATTCACATGAAATAAACTGGAACAAAAAAACTACAATTTTCAATAGGTTAAAAGAGTAGAACCACTATTGAACCCTGAAGACACGCTTTTTGTGGCAAGATAGTGGAGTTAGTCCCCAACATATGATAAGGTTCAACATTTGTGGATCATACATTTGAATATTTCTTTCAAAATGAGTCAAAGTCCCATAGAGCTACAAAGGCAGCTGCCCACCATCTGAGAGTATATGACAAGTGACCATTGACAAGACTGAATATTTTGTTTTGAAATGTTTATTCCAAGAGCAACAATGCTCATTTTTCACAACTCTGAAGCCCATGGATTCGTTGCAATTTTCATGTCATCTCAAATGAAAGGCAGAAGCCTACAAAGCTCTATGGGAAAATAAATTTTAGTGAACTACCTAGACACATTGACTCACAACATGTGGACATACTCCTGTAGTAATTCAAAAACAGAATGAGGATTACCCTGAAGTTTGTTCAACTTTGATAGTGCTTCCTGGGCTTTTTCAACATTCCCGTGAATAATTAAAGCATTTGAACTCTGCTCCCGAGTGAAGCCATTCTCCTAAAGAGGGAAATATCAGTTAATAAAATCTCAAAATTAAAATCATAGGTTCACATTTGGATTCTCACCATTAGCTGTAAAATCTGTACATTCATCAGTTCTTGAGCCGCTTCTGGGCTGGAGCCGTTTAGTTCAAGAATCTTCTTAAAAGCGCAGGCTGCCTCCTCGTACCGCTGCCAAGAACAACAAGGTCAACAAAAGTAACAGTTACTTTCACTTCAATGCTTTCACTAAGAAAACATTAAAATTCAGAAGAAGTCTAAGCTAGACAAAAGGGTGTTTAAGCGTGTTAGATGTTTAACTTTTATATGATGCTTATGCTTTGACAAAACTTCAATGTCAGCACGTCAGATTAGTGGTGATATAGATACAGTATATTCTGACATTTGTATAAACCTGCAACAGTAAAAAAATAAAAATGTAATAAACTAATAACATTTTGTATGACATCATGTGCAAATCACGATTCTACTATGAAGACTGTGGTGGCAGAAGCAAACTTTTTATACAAAACTTGCTGTAAAAATATGACCCATTACCTCTATTAAATCAGGGGAGATATTCAGTCATATTTTTACAACAAAATATGTGGGTAATATTGACAAAGATAATATAAAATGCTAAATAATTAATAAATAATTAATGTTAAAGTTCTGAATAAAGTCTGAATAGCAGTACACCCTTATCTGAAAGATAACCGGTGCACTCCCACTACTACTGATAATATTTTTTAAAAAGGTCATATTTAGATCATAGCCACCTCACTGAAACCCTGGATTAAAAACAGAGCTAACATATTGTGCCATTGTATTTGTGTATTCATGTTACCGGTTTGGTGCAGAAGTGCGGTGTTCTTTTACCTTGAGTCCTGCCAGCGCTCTTCCTTTTCTAAACAGGCCTCTAACCCAGCCAGGACTCATACTCAGAGACAACTCTGCATCACTTAAAGACTTCTCATACTCCTGCATTCTCTCAAAACAAAATGCACGATTTCCAAATAACCTGCATAAGAAAAATATATGTTAAAGCTTTTTTAGAATCTAACCAAAGCCAAATCAGAGTTCATCTCTACCTACCTATACTCTGTCGGGTTGTATTTAATGGCATCTGTGAAATAATTAACAGCAATTTTATATTCTCCGACACCAGCGAGTTTATTCCCAATCACTGAAATAAAACATACAATTACAAATGTAACAAACATTTAAGATTTTTATGAACATTTGAAAACAAGCAAACAAAGACATACTTGCAAGTTCAGCACTCATTTTAACAAAGTCCTCCATTTTAGGGCTAGATGTAACAGGATCCTGGAAAATTACAATTAAAAAAGTAAAAGGAGTTAATGGGTGTTAAAAGAGCACTATGCAACTTTCTAGGGAGACTGTCTGCTGTCTGCTTGAGGCACCATGGAGTTTTTGCATTGCCTGTCACGTTCCTCAGTACAGCATTATAAGCATCCATCTTACTTTATTTAATTACATGTGATTTATTGCAAAAAAACAGTACAGCCAATCTGTAGAAAATTCCAGGTAAACCAGTCACTTGCCCATGGGGACAAGCATGTGATGGACACTCTATTAGTGACAGAAATTATATCCAACATTTATATATAGCAATACTGTTTGAGGTATTGAAAAGTATTGATTCTCATGCAAAAATATCAATACTTAAAAGCATCAATACATACATACCAAAAAAAAAACCTTTTTCTGATACAATTTTGGTAAACATCTTAAATACATTTATCTGCAGATTACCTCTGCTAGAAAAGGTTACATAATGCATCTTTAATGAGCCGATTTACAGATATGAATCTTTAAAGCAGGAACAGAATAACTCACCTTATTTACATGATTTGCTTCGTGTGTTCCTTCCGTTTTTTCAGGTGTTTTGGGTTCTTCTTTAAGTGGAGACTTCTTTTTATCATGCTTTTGCTCTAACTGGCGTTTAGCAATTTCAGCTGCTTTAGTAACAAAACTACTTGTCAAATCCAACCCCTGTAACACATAAAAACAATATAAAAATCTATTTGAAACCATCTTAAACAGCAATTTATTTTAAAATACAACCCCAAATATTTTACCTCATCTTCTTCATTACTGGATCCATCTGAAGTGTTGTTACTGCTTTCTGAATTTAAAGATGAAGCCATAGCTCTAAGGTTTAAATATTCTTTATCCTCTTCACATACTTCTGAAGCTTTATCCTTAATCTGTAAATTAAACAAAATTATTGACATAAATCTTTATCTCAACTAGGAGTTCATGGTAGCAAAACGAAAATCACCTTATCTTGTGTAGTGTTCTGTTGCTTTTCAAGGCGTTTTCTCACTTTTTGTCGCTGTGAGGAAAAAAATAATAATAATAAATTGTGTTGTGTTGTATTGTAAACTACAATTTCCAAATTCATTATAAAACTGGAAACAACAATGACATGTTAAGATTAAATGTCTAAAAATGTTCAGTAAAATGTAAAAAAAAAAAGCTCAGTATAAAATATGTCATTTTCAAAGTAAAATTTCAATGGTAATCTCTTCTTCAGTTTTGAAACTCAATGCCTGGTCAAATAAGTATTCACATTGTGGTGTTGCCTTCATTATACAACTATGTAGCCTACATAGTATACAATATAGGTCTTGTGAAATTCCCAACACAGAATAATTAAATGATTGATACAAAAATTACTTCCAGATACATACTTGTTTTTTCAGACGCTTCTTTTCTGCCTTCTCTTTAATTTTCTTTTCGTTTGATAATAATCTAGCCTTCCTTTCCGCATCCTGATTCACAAAACAGATAGTAACAAATTAAATACATACAAAAATGCAGATAAAAAAAAAAAAAAGAGCAAACAACTTACACTTTCCCAGTCTAAATCATCATCACTGGACTCCGTATTAGGGCCACAGGGCACCTTTATACCATACTTGTGTTTTATATCTTTCCAGTCATCTCCAGTGAAATTCTGATAAAAGTGTACGTCTTCATCTTGCATTTGGGCTGTTGATGAAAATGTATTTTAGACAAGACTCTACAGAATTTAGGCCTAAATGTTGTAAATGTTGTAAGGCTACTTGAAAATTACATACCACAAAAACTTTCTTGTATAAAACCTTCAATATCGGGGAGTCCAGCGTAGAAATCTCCCTGGAAAAACGTGAAAGAAATGCAGTTTTCATCTCTCTAAGCCATTACAATAACAATTCACACAAAATCACGCCAAATCTCCAAAGCTTCAAAAATGAAAGTGAGTCCCGATGACAAACTTACACAATAACTCTTCAGAATGATACAAGAAACAACTGTAATGCATGCTATTTTACTTATCAGAATTACATATTTAGGTAACTATCTGATTCCAAAATTTAAGACATAAAAATACAGACTTATCCTATCAAAAACTTTTTCCACAATAGCATTAGCACGTTGCTAACTCCGGCCCAGTGTAAAATGCGAGCGGCGCTGCTAGCTGAACACATGAAAGAAAATTAAGCAAATGTTTCTACTTACCATCACTTTTACTCTTGCAAAAGCTGGAAAAGAATGAAACGAAATTAGCGTGTGACAAATGGCAGCAAATACAGTGTAAACAGATTAAAATAATGACATACCTGCTGCCTGTCTATGAGTAAAAGACATGATTGTAGCTTGGAGTTTTCTCTATTGGCCTAAGTCATTTAAGTATCATACAATCTTATTATTATAAATCCAGGCGCAGATTAGTGTGATGCTGGTACTAGTAGAAACAAAAAAACTATAATAAAATCCAGTTTTTATTATAGATCCATGCTACGGAAGTGTAATAGTGGTGCCCTTAGTTCGTCACTGTGATCTTGTTGGCATCAATGCTTCTTTATCGCCATCTAGTGGATTTATCATGTCCTATAATCCAATCGATCCACTTTATTTATATAGCATTGAGATATAGAAGGGTAGATATCGCAGTGACTACCGCTCTCTGTTGGAATGCGTCAACAAAACCGCCATCTTGGTACAGGGGTGACACTGCTTTAAATGGTGAGATTAGTACTGGTTTAGTCCTGGTTTAGTCCTGGTTTAGTCCTGGTTCAGCCCTGGTTCAGTCCTGTTTTAGCCCTGGTTTAGACTTGGTTTAGACCTGGTTCAGACCTGGTTTAGACCTGGTTCAGTTCTGGTTTAGACCTGGTTCAGTCCTGTTTCAGCCCTGTTTCAGTCCTAGTTCAGTCCTAATTCAGTCCTGGTTCAGTCCTGGTGTAGTCCTGGTTTAGTCCTGGGTTATTCCTGGGTTCAGTCAGTTGCTGATACTGTGAAAAACTTTAGACCATGGAACCCCCGTACCAAGATGGCGGCGGAATAATCGCAGGCCAAGAGGCTGAACGCAAGATCTACTGTTTTATATCTATGATTTATATAGCATATTTTATGAACATGAAGTTTCCAAAGTGCTGCACACACAAATTAATAAAATAAAAGACAGAAAATCATAAAAAGTGTTAAAATGCATAAAGCTAAACATGATTTTAAAAAAAAATATTAAAAACAAATAAATAAATTAAATTAAATTAAAGACAAAGAGAACCACACATCTCACATGGTGTTAAAAGCCAGAGAGTAAATGTGGGTGAAGAAAAGACTATGGCTGCATCAAATTTTTTTTCCTCACTTCCTTCTCCTGGATTCTGTTGAGGAAAATAACCCTTTTCCTCGTGTGTTCGTTAGTTTCTGCTTAGACAAAAAATTACACTTGAAACAGAAATAAAGTCCAGATAATTTACTTATTCCAAAGTCATACTTGTACAAGGAGTCTGTGCTGACATTCCCATGCAGAGACTGAATATTTACGCCTATACAATGATTTTTATATGTAAACTATAGTGGGAGGCGGCCAGGTTTTAGACTTAGTGCCTTTTCGTTGGTCCACAGGCCAGCCAGGCCTCTTGGCACGTTGCACAATCTTATCCCATTGTGACAAGGATCCCATTTATCTCACTCCCCTTACGGGAGCGTCTGCTGGTCTGCTCGGGGTGATGAGTCATGAGTCAACATATCCCTATCAATAAATCCTTGCCCTATTTAGTTAATTGATTAGACATATAGATAGAAATAGAATATCTTGTACATGGACTGAACCCATCTCTGCATCCCTTATCTGTAATCTAGTGCCTGTTTTCTGGGTCATTGTATAGTGAATTCTAATAGTACAATAATAAAATATAGCAGTACATCAATAACATTATAACAGTAGTTATACATCACCTAAGCCTAGTTTTTTATCCTAACATTCCTCCCCTCAATTCTCCACTTTTCAGCTGTCAGTCAAATTTGTCACATAATTGGTGTCCCAAAGAAAACCACGGAAGGAAGAAAGGAGTAAATATGGGGGAGGCTTCAGAAGGAAGACCTCAGATAAAATAATCAAACTTTATAGGTCTCAGTGAGGAGTTTATATCCTCTCTCCTCAGTGGCCATGTCTCATTTCTCTTTCCTTTCTTCCTTCTCCTTGATTTCCCTCCTTGATTCTGCAGGAAATGGGTGAGAAAGTCCCACTCAAGAGGAGACACAAGTTGTAAATGGTGTCCCAGTTCGAGGGTTGCAGCCTTCATATTTGGACTCAATTTTACAACTTTGGGGATACTTTTAAACCTCTGTCAGTTTCTTGACTTCTCGAGTAGATATAAACCTATGAGGTCATGACTGTAGTGAGCCGCGTGCTGTGTGCAGACGGCCAGTCACAGCGCAGACTTGGGTAAACTGACAGCCGTGTGTAAACAGCTTTGCATCTGTGTAGACTTTCAGGGGGAGAAAGTTCAAAATGCATTTGCACTTGCTATTAGCCAAGGTCTAATAAAAACTTAAAAGGCTAGGCAATTTGGCAATGAACACTGTGATCTAATCCTTCTGCAATCTGCCATTTTCACATACAATGTCTATGAGAATTCACCACATATTCGCAATTTGCTTCACTTTGACTTGTCTATTGTGAGCAATGTGCAGTAGCATTTTACACTACAACTGTGTGATTACTCACTGTTTTGGACTTAATGGCAGTAAGTTTTTATATATTTTCAGCTGCCATATAGCCAAACTTTGGTTTGCCACTGGTGCCACTGTTTGCTTTGAGGAAAAACTCACCGTCCCTGGGTGGGCTCGAACCACCAACCTTTCGGTTAACAGCCGAACGCGCTAACCGATTGCGCCACAGAGACCTGAAAAATAAAGACATTATGAGTATGGAAACAGCTCAGTGTACATTAAGTTTAATGGACGTAAAAGCAGAAAAGTAATTTTTTCAATTATGTGACCAATACAACATTGAACTTTGTTCAACTGATAAAATTCAACCTTTTGCAATGGACCTGAACGACTGAGGAATTACACCAACATTTATATATGATCATCAAAAAAGTTACACAACACAACTTGATTTGCTATTTATAAAAAAAGGAAGAAAGGAAAACAATTAAGTTGGCATTTGATCTGAAGCACGGCAGCAGGAGCACCATTATTTGACTATTTGCTGAGCTAAAATGAGTGAGTTGACCATTAACTCCTGTATCATGTTTCTCTGGAAAAATGATTGCTCCGTGCACTTGAACACTAGAATACTTGAGTTTGTCCCAGAACAGCTTGCCTCTACATAAGACAAGCTGTTCTGGGACAAATAAAGGTTCTTTATATGCCAATTACAAACCACATAATTAAGTTCTGCTACTCTGTGGTTAGAAATTTGAAGGTTAATAGAGCTGTAACAATAACAGATTTTGAAGTGCGATACACTGCTGAAGAAAATATAGGCAATACTCGATAGTACTGAATTCCATTATACCACAGACACGAAAGCCCTAAAGAAGGATTTATCTGTAAAAAAAAAAAAAAAAAACAAATAAATAGTATGTACAGTATTGTTAATGAACATGAGCTGAAATAAGTGAAACAATTAATGAGTCATAAAAGTTATTTATTCAACCTTCTACAGCTAAAAGCTTATTGTAGTATAGAAAAATAACAAAATGTTTCCCATTAGTACAAAGAAAAAGTATCCACAGCAAACACTGATCTATTAAGGCGATATAGTAGATGATGTTGACAGGTCTTAAGGTTAACTTGTGATATCTTGTGAAATGTACATCTGCAGATTAAACTGAGTAATACAATCAAAAGGGCTACGTCCCTGGGTGGGCTCGAACCACCAACCTTTCGGTTAACAGCCGAACGCGCTAACCGATTGCGCCACAGAGACCATATTTTTGTATTCCGAGCAGTGGAATTGCGAGGCGTTCGAAAGGTCAGTCAAGAGTCAGTTCTTTCAGTGTGAACTACAGGCCTCACAAAGTCTCCCAACCTACCCAAAAAGCCCAGGAGGCACCTAGACTGTAGACTGTGTAAAGAAGTGGGAACGTGACATCACCCATAGCATTTGGCTCCAGTCAAATGAAGCTCATGAGGCTTGCAGTTACAGGGGCAACAATATTCCAATGGGAGCCAGGGTCGGAAGGAGCCTGAGGTGCCTACATGCAAACCTCCTATTTTCCTATGCAGCAGCTTGTGCGTTAGTTATGTCCATTTATATATACAGTCTATGTCTGGAAGACGTGCTCAAGTTTCTGTAGGCTCCACTCAATGTGGAGGAGCAGCAACTCTACACTGAGTCCCTAACATCTCCACTACTTGAACCTCAAATGGAACCTTGAGCCTTAACTTTGTATCAAGGGCAGCTGTATGTACTGCAGAGGTGGTACCAAGTCTTTTTGCTGCAAGTCTCAAGTAAGTCACAAGTCTATGACCTCAAGTCCGAGTCAAGTCCCATGTTAAATACAGACAAGTCCAAGTCGAGTCTCGAGTCACTGGCCCAGAAGTCAAGTTCAAGTTGTCTGCTTTGAGCTTCAAGTCATTTCAAGTCTTTAAACCAGGGGTGTCCAAACTTTTTTCATCAAGGGCCACATATCTAAACACAGACGAAGCAGAGGGACGATCGAGGGACGATCTCAGTACAGTGAATAATTAAAATATGTGCATGTTTAACATGTTAGAATGAGCCATCAGCCTTTATTCACGTTAAGATCCTTAAAACCACACAATAAATATTAAATATCGGTTTTATCCAGGTAGATTTTCAAAAAACTTGCAATAAAAAGATAATTTGCAAGGTAATTTGGGTCAATTCTCCTGCAAGCCTGAGGGCCAAGAAAAATTTGTCTGAGGGCCGCATTTGGCCCACGGGCCATAGTTTGGACATGCCTGCTTTAAACAAAAGTACCAAATATAGCCTGGATTTTTGCCATTTATTTGCCTTTTAAGATAAATTGTACTTAAAAAATTACAGCATATTTGTATATGAGTATTTATAGAGTATATAAGAGTTGTAGAAATTTATTTAGTTAACTTTTCATTTGTAAATGTCTTGACAAGATCTGAGTGTGAATCATTGCGGTCAGAATAAAAAGAATTCAGATTTAAAAGTGCTTTTCAAGTCTTATCAAGTCACGGGCCTCAAGTCCCAAGTCATTGACCTTCAAGTCCAAATCGAGTCCCAAGTCATAGTGCATTTTATCAAGCCAAGTCCTAAAAATAGTGACTCAAGTCTGACTCGAGTCCAAGTCACAACTTGCAAAGTCCCACCTCTGATGTACTGCATTTAATTGTTATCAAATTAATACAATAAAAGACAGTAAATCATAAATAAAAACAATAATTAAAAAGTGTGAAAATGCATAAAGTGAAAAATGATAAAAAATTAATTTGGTTTTATAGAGTTTATATCTTCTCTCCTCAGTGGCCGTGTCTCATTCCTCTTTCCTTGCTTCCTTCTCCTTGATTTCTCTCCTTGATAATGCAGGAAATGGGTGAGAAAGTCCCACTCAAGAGAAGACACAAGCCAAAGTTGTAAGTTGTGTCCCTTCGTATTGGGACACAACTTACAACTTTGGGGTTACTTTTAGACCTCTGTCAGTTTCTTGAGTTTTTGAGTAGATATAAAGATATGAGGTCATGATCGTGGTGGGCTGCATGCTGTGTGTGAACGTGCCTGATTCGGGTAAAACTGTGACTTAACTTTGTAACGACGGGCATCTGTATGTGCTGTATGTGTCTGTGCATTTAGTTGTTATCGTTGTAATAATTTTGAAGTACTGAATTCTTAGGTCACCATAAATTAAAAGTGCAGCGCCCAACGTGGGGCTCGAACCCACGACCCTGAGATTAAGAGTCTCATGCTCTACCGACTGAGCTAGCCGGGCTACATGTTAAGACAGTTCTCCCACTACTGGTCAAAAATAAACCCTCGTCCCGTATATCGATCTTTACGTATTAGTCCATTCTTCATTTATCTTTGTCGTCACTTTAGGGAGTACAACTGCTGCTTGATAGACAAATAATCACACAAAAGAGCTGGTGGTCGTATTAATGAAGCTACTCACTTTTTCCTTTAGGAATTGTTCGTGTAAAGTTGATATCTGATGTCGCAAAGTGTTTGATATTTATCCTCCAAGGCTGTAAACTTTCCGTAGTCATTCCCCGACCTCGTAGAATGCGATACGCGGTGTTTTACGAGACTGTAGTGGTTTTGGAGAACGTATTTTGAAAGGGCACCGGAAGTTTATTTTGACATTGCGTGTCCATTTCCGGACTTTCCCTGTGAAAAAGCCTGGAGACCACCTGTGCTGGAGAGTATATGCTGCAAAATCAGAACTTGAACATATTTTGAGCAGCGCGTAGCGTAATGACGGCCGTTGCACGTGCGTGTTAAAATGGTTAAAATGGTCATAAGCCGTACATACCTGCACGTGCTGCTCGTATGCTCACGCGCTTACAGCTTTGGTCTAGCATCGATTTGAGTGGCGCCAAACGCTGTGGGTGACGTCACACTTCACTTCTTTACCAAGTATATGGTCCAGAGCCGCATGTTTCCTGAAAACTGAAGTAAAACTCTAAAGAAAGATGCAAAGAACTAGATGTCAGCGCGAAAGGAACCAAAAACTCACCGTCCCTGGGTGGGCTCGAACCACCAACCTTTCGGTTAACAGCCGAACGCGCTAACCGATTGCGCCACAGAGACAGATATGGAATACGTTTGGTGTTTTGAGTTAAAAGGATATATACATCCAATAGTTAAATTGAGGTTTGGTAGAAGAAATCAGACTTGCGCTACTTCAAAAGAGACTATAATTTACAGCATGTACTGATTAATAAGGATATAACACTCACACAAATTATACACACTGAAACTTTGTCATAATAAATAAATAAATATATATAATAAATACATTTCTTGACTTCCTCGTGAATATAAATCGCCGACTTAACAAAATCCCGCGTAAAACGTGGGCCTCGAACCCACGACCCTAAGGTTAAGAGCCTGAGCTAGCCGGACATGACATCACCATTTTTTGTTTTATTTTTATACGCGAGGAAAGTTTAATAATGATATATTCATTTTGTAGCAAATGCAGTTTGTATTTTATATGATTTGTATTGATAAGACAAAAGAATCCAGTATGTTCGTGTTGACAGATCTTTCGCAGCCGCGTGTGCATGAGCATTGACTGAGACATCCTCATGTTCATTGTCGTTACCCTGGTTCTCTAGATGAAAAATACCCATATACTGTCACTGGCAATACAAACCCATGTGTGTCCATATTAAAATATGTGAATAGGACAGTTTTTATAGGCCTATATTGTAGCGCATACAATCAAGCACAGAATAATCAGATTCTTTAACTAAATTTGAGATTTTATGTTACGTAGTATAATATATCACTACACAGTAGAAGACATTTGTTCAGGGCAGTTCACAAGTTTTTGTCCATTTCTTGACACGCGATGGCGCAATTTTCTTACAAAATCAAAAGCGCTCTAGTAAACTGCAGTATTCACAGTTTTGTTAAATCTAGAAGCACCGAGTATCGTTTTGTCAAGTAGCCTACTGGTATTTGGGGTAACATTGGATTCGTACTTTCTTACTGTTCGAAGGAAAGGGGAAAAACATGGACATATAAATATAATAAGAGTTCCTATTATAGATCCATGGGAAAAAAGAAAAAGACCTGTGTGGGTATCTGCACCACGTGACCAAATGCGGAAATAGGTTGTTGAGTGCGGAGAGCGCATGAGAGAGCGCGGTGCTGAGGGGGAGAGCGGCGGAATTGGGTCTCCGCTTGTATTTTGATCCTCGGAGCTGTGTCAATCGGATCTCTCATAGAGCTGCACTTCAAACCCCAAGTTACAGACTCAAACTAGGCTCTTTCTTCGCATTAAGACGCATTTTCCGTCGTGTGTAAAAGGTAAGCGTGACCAAAAACCCGCGTAACTTTTTTGTGCTTGATGCGACAGACTGAGCTGATGTTTCTTTCTGTGCCTGTTGCACTTGACGTTTTGTTACTCAGAGTTGAACAATTAGACACATTTCTTGGTTTCATGTAAAAAAAAAATACTGCTATTTACCTAAATGGTTTGATATAACCAGAGTGAATTAACTTTGGACATTGTCTTTTGCTTGGTGCACCTGTACAGGGAAGCCACAATGCCCTCAAAATACTGCATTTTTCAGAAAGATTGTCGACATTTAGAATTCTTTCAATTAATTCATTTGATATTTAGGTGGTCATGTGTCTGTTATCTCATATAACTTTATTATGTCATAGTTGATACTACATTGTATTTATTGATAAGTACAAAGAGTCAGAGTTTTTTTTTTTTAATGTTTCCAAATTGAACTTCCTAGTAAGATTTTTTGAAACCTAATGCAATTGTTCACTTTTTCTGTCCTAATTGGCCATCAGCTCCAGAATAGAGCGCTGTCTGTGACATTTGCAGTTTCTATTGATCAGTGACAGCAAGGGGGTGTTCCTGTCACCAACAAAGGCTCAATGGGATTTAAATTAGGACCAAGTCAATTCCAAGTCAATTCATGTCAGTCATCACGAGTCACGACCCAGGATTTTTACAATACAAATATTTTTCTATGACAATTGCATTATTTAAAGACAGTATTGATGCAGTCAATTAATCAATCAGCCAGTCACTGTAACCACATGTTGATAATGTTCAATCAATAAACTCCTGAGTACGGATTGTTCTGTAATCAAGAATGCAATATGTTTTTATCGCAAGAAAAAGGTAATAGTGCACAATTTTATCATCTTGTGAAGGTCCACCATCTGCTTGTGTCCATGGAGAAGATATTGTTGGTTTGCCTGGAATGTTCTGCAGCATGTCTTTAGATGTATCAGTCTTGCATTTGTTCAATCAGGCCTAAAAAAATACCTCAACATTTCATTGTGAGTGGGCTCGCCTCCCCAAAGATTACCTGTAAAATGGCCTGGTGGCATCACCTATTTTCTCCTTGGACAAATTTTTTTCAGACCTTCCACCAGAAGTTATAGTGCTCATTTTATATGGGCTTATCATAATATAAAGTTCTAATTTTCTTTGGCTGTGAATGGTTTGAAGCAATGTTCAAAAAGAGGCTTTCACATAACATTTGTCCAAAAACTAAGAAAATGATCCCAATGAAATAAATAATTTCACCTGTGCCATAAGAGTTCAAACAGAAATGAGTGGAAGACAACGCCAATGTATTTTTTTTTATACTTTATTGGATAGAGCTGTCAGTGAAGAACATCAACTTGACTCTCAGGTTTTTGTGAAAATGGACTTAGATTTTTCTGCACCTTGACATTCCTGTCAGCCTTTTAGAAGTTAGAAGTCAAAAGTCCTTCCTGCCTACATTTGCTGCTCCGAATAGAAAGGAAGTTCAAGCCTAAAAGGATCTTACGGTTGCTGGGTACAAGCCATAAAAAGAACAATTCAAAGGAAGCATTGTACTTTTTAGTAGGGATGCACCAATCTAGCTTTTTCTGTTCCAATACCGATATCGATACTTTTACTTCAATACAAAAAGTGTAGGGATGGAAAATTACACTTATTTCCTTGAAACACAGTGAGTCAGTTATTACACATGAGATTCAGTGGTGTTATGTAACTGTTTATCCTTCAAATAACTAGTGAAGAATTTTGTATGTATAAAAGTACAAACAATAGGAGACGTTCTATGCCAAAATCAGCCTGTAAATAGTCTTATTACAGCCAAATAAAGGCCCAAGCAGGATATTGACTCAACCGATATCATGAAACCAATACCCGATACAGCACATTTTTCAGTATCGGTGCCAAAATCCAACACTTTTATCAGAATCCGTGCATCCTTACTTTTTAGTGTCCAGTGTTAATGTATTTTTAACTAGCTTTGAGATGCAGTGTTGTTAAAACTGGGGAATTTATTTTATTGACCTTAGCAGTACAGAAATGAGAAGTGATTAGAGTATAGAGAGAAGACTATAAGGTCTCAGATTTTAATTAAAGTACAAATAACTGGGATTACAGAGATAGTAAATGTAAAAATGAACACTCAAAAGCTGCTCTCGAGTAACCTTGTTGTGTAATTAAAAGATAATCACACTATTAGGCCTACAGAGACTGGTAATTGAATATTCTTTTTGTAGCACAATGTGACTCCAGCTACTCCCATTTTTAATACTCTCTATTCATATATGGTCTTTGTAGGAACATTGTTATTACTGCTAATTCAACTATTGTTAATACCATCATGTTACAAAGAACTCCTGCATAACAATACATTTACTTACATTGTATTTATTTTATTGGACTGTAATTTAAACTAGGTGTGTCCAAAATACAGTTTGAAGCATGGTAAATTAAATAAGTAAATTATAATATTTCAACTACTTTATTACACACAAAGCAGAGTAATCCTTGTAAACCAGTTTTGAACACGCTATATCATTAAAAGATCTGAGCTGCAACAAACCAAATAAACTAATAATTAGCAATAGAAGTGATTTATTCTTCCCTCTAGAGCTCAAGTCTTACCTTATTACATAAAAATGGCAATACTGTAAATACTGAGCTACAAAATATACTGTTCCAGCTTTCATATATTGAATGAAAAGTTGATAGTCATTATCGTGTCAGGCCTAGTTTAAACCACTACAGACATGTCCTGAAAGTCACGGGATTCTAGGATTCGTTTATCAGTTCATATTTCAGATTTCTCTTAAATGGTAAAGCTCCTGGAGTTGTTTACAGCGTACACTCTGGACAGAGTCCTCCTTTTTATTTAAATAAATCCAAATTGCAGCACTACCTTAAATGATAACAATGACTCTTTTGTTTAAATTCTAAAGCATGTCCTCTTGTACTGCATCACCATATCTGGATACTAAGCTACTTGTACCTTTTATATCTCATCATTATCCTTCAGTTTGTAGCATGGGTCTGGTCTAATCCTCTTAGATTGTTTGTTATTGTCCTTTAGTGGGACTCGCTGTCAGAAAGAACCATTATTATGTTATTATGAACTACACACAACCTGGAGAGATAAGATTAGATTTAAAAATCTCTGAATAAGCACAAATGTTCCGCTATTATGCTTATCTTAATACCATGTACTGTCCTAGTGTCTCTGTGCACCACACTGTTATCCAACCAGTGCCTCCTTTGAGTCCTTAAGTTGTCTCCTCTCTCCTTGTTTTCTTTCCAAGGGTTGATCTGAGGACACACGGCTGAGATGACAAAGCTGTGACAGTGCCTCCTGAAGTGCGTTTTGGACAAGTTTGTGTGCTATGGCGACTGCAAAGAAGAGTAAGTTTGATCATTTTATTTATATACAGTGTTTCCCTATTATAGAGAAGACTGTGGTGGGACCTGCGTCTAGTATAGATTCTATATTTGAGACGGCAATTTGAGACCACTAAAATTAGACTGAATTATATTGCCTATAAATTTCAGAAGGCATTTAGTTAAACGAGATCCATAATGACGTAGCTGCCAGGTTCAAACTAATTGCATCTGGACAAGCTTGTGTTATATGGCGACTGCTAAGAGTATCATTTTATAAGAGTATATTTTATACAGCATATTTCCAATTTATAGATTAGACTATGGTCGCACCAAGTCTGCATGAGATAAGTAAAAAAAACAAAGGCACACTAAATTAGTTTAACAGATTCTATGTTTTATAATGGATTAAAAAAAGGGAATGTATTGAAGAAGAAGCAAGCAATTATTTCACCATATAACACCAAAAAACTGCACATTAACCACCTTTTTCTTGCTCTCACCTCAGTGTAACATTATCAACCCAAAGAATGTTATTGTCTGCTAAAAGCCAGTCACTTATTTGATATAACTATGTGCAGTAATCTTAATGAAAATCCATCTATTTAAGTGCTAGTTCACTGTCACTATTGTTTCCTACTGTATTGCTGGCAGTTGTAAGTGAAAAGCAGCTATTTAATGATTCATGCATTCTTCTTGACTCTCAGATTTTATCAAGCTACCACCTGCCTTGCTTGTTGCGAGGTTAGGTTTTCCCCAAGGCTGCACATCACATGCAATCGCAAAAATATCTCTATTGCAATATTTGTCAGTGCAATAATCAATAGCTCAGTAAAATAAACATACTGCAACAACACAATTCTCCATCTGACCGAAATATGAGTTTTTCTGAAAGTAAACTGTAAAGAAAGCCACATTTTAATCAGGTAATTTCATTGTTTTGGTTTTGGTTTAGTTTTTATTTTGACACGTTTGACTAGCAAATTAAGTCATGGACATTTAGTTTTAATTCAGTTTATTTGAAAGGAATATTACATTTTGCATTTTACATAATCACAAAGAAAAGCAAGCAAGGTTCTCAGATATAGCATATTTTTCTCATATTGTGCAGCCCTGATTTTTATAGTTATTCATAGGAGAGTAGGAGATTGTCAGTCCAAGAAATAATATTCTCAGTGCAAGTTTATATTTACAAAAGCCTTGTTCATCCCTGAAAACGTTCTGCTCATAAATATGGGGGAACTATTCACTGTGGATTGTGTTCTTGCAAGCGCAACTTGTCACAACATTGACAAAATGTGCTAAAAGTCTGCATGTCATAAAAACTACCAAGCTAACACTGACTGTGAGCTACAGAAGCAGTGCATTGGAAAGCCTGAAATGTTTTACAAATTCTACGATCCATGCTTAACATCAGATCTAAAGACTTGACCAGGACTAAACCAAGATGTAAACTAGACCGACTTGGATGTATACGTAATCATTTAACCAGAACTGAACCAAGACTAGACAAGTTGAAAGCAGTCGATGAAGGATTGTGCAGTTAACATGATAGTTTTAAGTGGCACCTTCTTGTGACGAGGAATCTCAATGATCTCTTTTCATAATCTTAATAAAGCCTCTGATTGTTTCCTGGCACTCAACATAATTTGATATCCACAGCAGTACATTGTGTCTAAGAAAAACAATCATTTATTCATTATTTTTATTTCAAAAGAGCAAAATTGAAAGTAAAATTAACTGATACTTTCCAGTCTAATCTTTCATAACTAATTTTACAGTCTCTTTACTTGCAATAGTTTAACCTCAGTTGTATTTACATGGTTATTTTAGCATATTTCTGATGAATAGCTGTAATATTGCCTGTATACTCCCCCAAAAAACAATTGAAATAACATTTTTTAAATATATTTGACCCCCTACAATGAACATGTTGTATTGGTAAAGGTAAAAAAGTATGAACAAATGTACAAGCCATAAACTGTATATACGCAGGTGACTCAGCCTTGAAACATCTCACCAGTGAAGGCTTGCCTTAAAAGACACATAGAAAAGGTGCTGTTTATTAAGGCCACATCGAACAGTGCAGTCTGCTCTGTACTCGCTCAGATTCAATGCTTCTTTTATACACAACTGTTTGACTGCTGGCATGACATTCAACTATTTCTCTGCACAAATGATACAAAATAAACCATGGAATAACTACGATGGATTCACCACATCAAAACTGGGACTAAAACGGGATTAAACCTTTAAGTAAATCTGGACTTGACTAGAACAAAACCAGAACTAGAACAAGACCAAATCCAGTCTACATTTGTGAATTCACCCAAAGACAAAATCAGGACAGGGGAAAACCAGGGTTAAACTTGGACTAAACTAGGATTTAAACAGGGACTAAACCCACACTAAACCTGGACTACAACTGGACTAAACCCGGACAGAGTTAACTAACACATCCAGGCTAAATTCGGACTAAAGTAGGATTAAGACAAGACTAAATAAATCAGCATAAATGTTGCAAACCTGCACTAAACTCAAGCTTAAACTGTTACTAAACCAGGACTAAACCAGGACTAAACCAGGACTAAACCAGGACTAAACCAGGACTAAACCAGGACTAAAGCAGGACTAAAGCAGGACTAGGCCAACCACTGCCCTTAGCTTTAATAGATGTTATTTTAAGTGTGAATGCTGAGGATGTGTTTTGTTCTAACAGAAGGTCAGCCAATACATTTGTGTCCTGGCAGTGAGTGTCCCCATAAAGATAAATTCAATTGTGTTTATTCTTGGACTGTCTGTTGTAGTGATGCCCTTTTTGTTATTGATGTCTTCACAAGAGGAAATCCAAACAGATACTTAGAAATTATGCAGGTAATCATTCTATGAAGTAGAGATTGGGTTACAAGTCAATTGCCAAACCCCTACAGGCTTAAATGGGTTTGAATATGTCTTTGTAAAGCACAATGAAATCAAACATTGTATATCTTGTGTGCTATTTGTTTGCAAACCTGGTGAGATTTTTGCCTTTTTTATATAAGAAAAGTAAGAACTGCTCTGTAAAGAGTTGAATAAATAACTTCTATGGCTAATTATTGGTTCTTTCTGCTGTTTATTTGTTGCAGGTCATGCTTTTTAACAATACAATATATTTAAATAACTTGTCTACTGAGCATTTTTGTAACAGGTCTAGCTATAAAAGTAAACAAATGATGGTAAAAATACTACTGATGATGATACACTGACTTCTTTTTTGGTGTTATTGATGTACCAGTTTAGTTGCTTTTAAGTTTCCTGGGATCCAGAATTCACACTTCCCCAATACTTAAAAAAATATTATTTCATCATTGCAATGTTTTCATTAGCATTTGAGTAGTATTTTCATTTTTATACATTGCTCTTCTCCAATATTAGATGCACCAATAATAGGAGAGGTGAGTCTGGTCAGTTTTATCTCCCTGTATTCACATGGGTTTGATTGACAGGTGAATTCATCATGCAGAGTCAGTCTGTATGAACATAAACATAGCTCCTCATGAGAGGCAAAATAAAGGAACTGAAAGTATTGCAGATTTCAGCAGAATTGATGTGCGAAGCAGTAAACTCTTTTAATGTGAGGTTAGAGAAATGTAATTTAATGATGAGTGCCCAATGACCTCCTTCGTTTCACATGCGTCACTGAATTAAACAAATTGCGCAGTACCGTGTGAATGTGGCTCGAGGCACAATGGAGGGAGAGGTGACCAGACTGTATAAATAATACACAAAGATATCATTCTGATCTTGCCAGACACACTTTGAAGTTTGATAAATTTGACATCTGAAGTGTGCTTACTGAAAACAAAAAATATCTCTTCACATCTTTTTGTCAGGCTAGCACATCCCATGCAACTGCAAAAATATCTTTATTGCAGTATTGGTCAATGCAATAATCAATAGCTCAGTAAAATAAATATACTGCAACAACACCAAGTTCTCAATCTGACTGAAATAACTGTTTTTCTGAAAGTTAACTGTGAAGAAAGCCACATTTTAATCAGGCATTTCATTGTTTTTTTTCTTGGTTTTGTTTTTATTTTGACACATTTGACTGGCAAATTAAGTCATGCGCATTTTAGTTTTAATTAAGTTTATCTGAAAGGAATATTACATTATATAGACATTTCTGATTTTGCCGGACACGCATTGAAGTTTGATAAATTTTACGTTTGAAGTGTGATTACTGAAAACAAAAAATATCTCTTCGTATCTTTTTGAAAGGGGAAAAAGTTCTCAATATGTTCCATGTAACAGGCAACAAAAACCTGTGAATAAATACAGCTGGTTAATGGTTAAAGGAACATTTTAATCTGGATTATGTTATGCTTTTAAACCAATAAAATAAACAAATCTAAACCACAAACATTATAGTTGCAACATGTCTAAATACATATAAGTGGGGCTGCATTATGTTGGGATTTTGTGTGACTGGCTTCCACTCTTCTCAGCGAGTCTGTCTTGTCCTGCGCTTTGCCCCTCCCCCATAAAAATCCTCTACGCGCGTCTCTGTGTATGTTGTTAAAGTGTGCAGAGAGCTCCTCGCTGTCTCGTCTATTCTATACAAGCAAACAAAGGCGAGAACACTCTTGTTTAAATACGTTAAGTCATAATAGTCTTAGATTTGCCAGCTTCCCATATATATCGCAAGTACATAAAATGCTTCAACCTCTTCTACATAGTTATTAAGACTTTCAAGCATTATCTTTCATATCTATCTAGCTGACAAAATAACTCAAAACTATAGAGAATCTTTGACTTCCTTTCTATACTTCTGAAGCTTCTGTGATCTATAGGCTGTAGTTTGACTTTGAGTAGAGTAATTTAGTGCAGCCTGACTCATGTAGCGTTGGTGGTATAGTGGTTAGCATAGCTGCCTTCCAAGCAGTTGACCCGGGTTCGATTCCCGGCCAACGCAAAGTTTTTTTATTTGCAAGTTCTTCATTTGGGAGGAGTAAAAGTTTTATTTTTATTTACACGAATTAGGG